TATATATATATATATATATATAAAATTATTAAATTTTTATATATATATATATATGTTTAGACAGTTGTAGGTTGTTGTTTTTTAATGTGTTTGTAGATATATTTGAAGATAACTGAACAAAACAATTGGATAGATTACAATGCGTACACATTAAACGTTGGAGCGGTACAGCCTCTATTACATTAGTACATTTCTAGAACAACCAAAAATTAATATTGTTCAAAACTGAAAAGTATCCTTGGTTTCTTAGTTTATACAGCCTCTAAATCAAAATAAAATTTGTTCACAGTCTGACAAGTTACGTAAAATATTTATAAAAACATTCTCAATAAAATATATTTATACTTGTAATTTCTTTTTTTTTTTCTTTTTTTATAGAACTCGTTTATTGAGAAATACTACAATCTGTTTCCAAGGACAGTTGTACATATTAAATATATTTTTCCAAGATTATTGCAAAAAAATGTAGAAGAAAATCATGTGAAAATGGAGGTGTCCACGTGAATGAATCATAAAATCCAGGAATATGTTTCTATATTACTATCGCTGAATATGAATAAAAATTTAATACGAATATTTAAGTCGTGATAAAATAACTACGTGCCTACTTATAGGCCTTAGCTTAGCGAACTGGTCGATTTTTATTTTCTTAATCGATTTTAGTTTTTAAATTTTATTCATTCATGTAGCTTATTTGTTATCAACTTTATTTATTTTTTTTACTTCAAATTATTTTGAGGAGGGCAAACAATATTCTTATTTCCTAAAAAATTTTAATGAGGGGAATCGTCCGCTTCGCCTCCCAAAGTCTGTGCCTAAGGGTTATTATCTTCATGTGAATTCAACAGTTTAAATTAAATTTTCAAAATCTTAAAAATGCGTATAGCTATGCAGTATAAATATGGCATTACTTCTCATATCTCCACTGTTTACCACATTTCATAATCAATATATGCTTATAATTTATTTATTTGTATTTTAATTATTAAATGAAATTGGTACTAGAAAATGTGTGCAGTATTCTCTAAATTTCTTCCCACTTTGTTTTAAATCGAACGAATCCTTTTCACACTATGGGCATGTCAAAAAAAGTACATTGGAGATTCGAAAGCGGAAGTGGTGGAGATAAATTGATGAAATTCGCTGAAAAACTCTGTCATCAATCATTAACTTCTCATCAACTTTGGAATCGAATGAAATCGAACGTGCTGTTCTTAAGATGTCGAGGAAAATACATTAATTAAAATAACTGTTACATAAAATTTTACAAGACCATTTGTACACTACCCCTCAAATTTCTTGTAGCTTGGATTAAATATTGGCGTATCTAAAAAAAAAAACATTTACGCAAGGGTACCCGAAAGTAAACAGATTTTACCATAGAAAGATATGGAATTAAATTAGTAGTGAGGAAGCAAATTTATAATGGCCATCGTAATATAAATGAACTACTGGAACAAATAATAATGAGACATTTTCTTAATTTATGCAGCTTAAGAAAAGGTAATGAACCGAAAAGGATAAAGCCATCAAGCGGGCGAAGAGCGGCTAATGCTTTCCCCGATTACCCTCACTCAATTGATTCTTTTTAAATGGCAGTAGGCCAATCCGGTCTGTTCTCGGCTTCAAGAGCGCTTCATTATACAATTCTCGTTCGGCAAAGTCAAAGCTTTTCGAACCTCGCCAAGTCTACCCAAGTCGGTTAAAACCTGGAGAGAGCAAGACAGAGAACCTAAACCCTCGAAGCATCTCACAGATACTTGAGCTGCATTTTATACAGCTGACCTTTGGAAACTGAACCGTGAATAGAAACAAGACGAAATAATACGAAGCATGGCGGCCCTGAGAACAATAAACTGACACCAGGTTTCATTAACGCCATGGGCCATTACATGTACCATTAACTGTTTATTAGTTCTCACTTTATGGCTATTTACTTATTAGGCTTCGACTGCCCTTGGCCAAGAGTCGTTTGGGCATTAAAATCAAACACTTCTTTAAAGAGTTCTGTTTGAAAATAATAGTATTTAACAATAACTAGAGACTACGTCTATTTTGTATACGATACTTAATATATGAGAAGGAGTTGATCGGGGGGTGTGGTCAAATAAATACTAAATTATATAAATACTATTATTTAATTTTTTTGCCAACATTTCGACCCACTTTGCAGGTCTTCATCAGGGCTACAAAAGATACAAAATATAAAAGGTACATATTGAAAATAAAATAAATGAATATAAGTAGATATAAAATAAGAAGAAGTTGTCTAATAAAGAAATAAAAAGATGATATCAGATATATAGTGGGTAACAATGTAGTTAAAATATCAAGTATTATATATATATATATATATATATATATATATATATATATATAGAAGATACAAACAAAAATAGAAAATAAGTATGAATAAAAATAGAAAACAAATTGTTTGTATCTTCTATATATGTAATATAGAAGATATTTTGACTAATTGTTACCCACTATATCTCTGATATCATCGTTTTATTTCTATACCTAACAACTTCTTCTTATTTTATATCTACTTATATTCATTTATTTTATTTTCACCATGTACCTTTTATATTTTATATCTTTTGTAGACCTGATGAAGACCTGCAAAGTGTGTGGAAACGTCGGCAAAAAAATTAAAGAATACCATTTCTATAATGTAGTATTTATTTGACCGCACCCTCCGATCAACTCCTTCTCATATTATATCGCGGTCAACTATCTCTAGATCGATATTTGATATAGGATATTAAATAAATACATGATGACTAGCCGAAAACTACACCATAAAAACAGGATCTACCTAGATGGGAAGTCTTTCCCAAGATTGGACAATTTCAAATACCTCGGCTCAACAATAACTTCAATGAATGACCAACTTAATGAAAAGGACCAACAACTGAGCTTTCTCCTCTTCGCTTTCAGAGGTATTAAAATCCCGAAAAATATTAAGAAATTTCAAATGAAGTATATAAAGTTCTGCATGGTCTGTAATGGCAAAAAAAAAAAAAAAATATATATATATAGTAGAGGGAAATATTTAAAAGTTTGCTAATAGACATCAAGATCTACAAAATAATTCATATAAACCGTTGCCCAATTTCTAGCAGAAAATCAGGCAATTTCAGATTTTTGTTGAATTGGAACCGATAACATAAAAAATATTAGTTTCAAGTAAATAAACATTACTCCATAATAAACTAGAAAAATTCATTTTAAACGAAACTAGAGATTGTCATTGTTTAAAGTATTGGGTTGGTAAATAAGTCCTTTCCGTTTTTCAGGATGAAATAAAACTCAATGTATTATAGAAACAAAATTTATTTTAATTTAACTATAATATATTGACCGTTATTTAATATGACTTTTTTTCCATCTTTCCACTAACTGCATAATGCTATGTTCATAGAATGTCTGGAGTTTAATGTTAAAAAACTGATTCGAGTGTTTTTTTATCTCCTCTTCCTTTGAAATTTCTTTCCGTTCATGGAGTTCTGCGGAGACCGAAATAAGTGGTAGTCACTTGGAGCTAGGTTTGGTGAATAGGGAGGGTGGGGCAAAAGGTCCCAACCAAGGCTCAATGAGGCGAGTGACCAATGAGGTGTGGAGCCTGGGGTTGTCTTGGTGGAACACAACACTCTTCCGATCATTCATAACTCTTTAGGATGTTCTCCAAATTCGATGTTACTATATCCGTTGGAAAACTGAATTATTGATCTTTAAAGCCGTATGAATGTTTTTTTTATTTAATGCCTACATAAGGGATAAATAAACAAAGACTCCTTTGTTTCCGCCCAATAGTCCTCTTTAATTAGTTTTAACAATAACAAACTCTACTTCCGTTTAAAAGAAATGTTTTTAGTTTACCATAGAGCAATGTTTTTTTTAGGTCATCGCTTCCAATTCAATAAAAAACGTGACTTCCTTAAAAAAACACAAATCTTAAATTTCCTACTTTTCTGCTGGAAATTGGTCAATTGTTTATATGAATTTTTTTGTATATCTTGATCTCTACTATCAACCTTTAAAATATTTCCTTCTACTTACGGGGCACTCTGTATACTCAACATTGTTAACCAACATCACTTTTAAATCAAGTTCAAAACATACCAATACAGTTTGGTGCAAAAAACAGCTGACCATAAATAAAAACACAAATTATTTGATTTTAAAAATTAAAAATTCGTAAGCAAACAGTGAATATTCGGCTTTTCCAACAAAAATGAAGTATCCTTTAATAATAGAATATTGAATACGAAGAAATGAAATTGTAAACATATGATTAAAAATGTGCTCACCTACGTGAAGTTTTAAATTTTATCGAAACATATTCCTCGACGAATATACGAAAAAAATTAATGATTCTCATCCACGTAATATTGATAACAACTAAGATCACGACTTCCTAAGATAACTATAAAACCTGAGTTTACGATATTTGTATTTCATTTCTTATCCTTGGTCGCCCGACATAGCAATAAAAAGTAATCAATCTATTATCTTGGCGGTCAGTGCCATCATGAAGTAACTAGCAATTAAAACATTTCTCATTTAGTAAACTCACCCTCTTCTAGTTAATAGGTCTTATTTAGTCCAAGGAAATTCTGTATAATGCTGAGCTACTCGATCACCTTAAAGCTTTAAAGGGGATTTTCTTTGTTCTTTTTTTTTACTCTTGCCATAGGAGAGTATGAAATTGAAGCCGTAAAAAAATGAATCAGTTACATAAAGCTACACGAAGTCTTATGATTCAGGTACTAGATACGACGACTTCCTTATATTTTCGAGAGATAGTGTGATCAGAAATGGGCTCCAACTAACTGAATCATCCTGGGAATAATATTAGATGCCAATTTAAAGGTTGAGCTAATCCAGGAGTCGGATAAAATCAATGGTTCTTATTAATTTTCATTCCAGAGAATATTTAGGGTGCCAAGCTTATACTCGAACCGTGTTCGTTCATGTCAGATCTGTACAGCGCAGACTCACGCTCCACCTGCACATCTACACGTTCCTTCTCCAAGCTTCTCTAACCTAAAACTGGTTCAAAGAGTTCAATACAAAATATCAAATCGTTTTGGTTAACTCCAAAAATATAAGATGAATATATTATACAATTGATGCTCTACACTTTATATAAAGGAATCTAAGTATTTTTAAATATGGTAACCGACTATGGAACACTTTTTTTTTTTTTTTTATGCCAAGTCATGGAGACTTATTAGCCACTATCCAGCAGCCCGATAAAGTTTAGACCTTCTTCTATAAGTATTGTCATTCATTATTTTCCTCTTTATGCCTTCCAAGTAAAGGGACGTGTTCCAGGTCATCATCATCCATCTCACCATCGATGCAGAGTGGACACGTTTCTCCACTCTTTACCTCTATTTCATTTAAATTGACTTGCAAATAGTCACGGCATGTAAGGGTACTGAATCAAATCCATTTCTTGGTAGGTCTTACCGGAGTTTATTTTCTATGAAAAATTCTTATTTTTATTCGGCTATCTTAGAGTTTAGTTTTTCCTGTACCTTAGCTTTAAGGACAATCTTTATCATAAGTTGCGCAGATGTGTAAGGGACAGGTGGGTCTGGCTGGGGCAAAATGGAATCTTCCTTTGCTGAATCGTCAGCTGCATCGTTTCCAGCAATACCACAATGACTGGGTATCCATCAAGTAGTGATATGCATATCCTTCATTGGAATTCATACCATTGGAGATTCAGAAATCGTCGGCATGCTAGTATAGCTTAAGTTGAGTAATGTTTTTTACTGGTTTCGGCCTATTTTGGTGCTTGTAAATCCACAAATATAATGACGTTTTTAGTCTACATGGTCCTTAATGCTTAAGAAGAATACTTTTAGATACGATAAATTTAGTACTGAATTAAAATAACGTGACCAATAAAATTCAAGGATCAATCGACTAAAAACAAAAAAAAAATTAAAATAAATTTTTAAAACTATGATAAATGAGCTTCATGTTACAGGCATCGATTTTGAAAAACCAGAAATATTAAACTTCCATTTTCTCCAAATCTTCTTCACAATTATAGTACACCTGAGAATAAAGATTTTGATGTTCCTCCTGAATGTGAAAGATCTTCAAGTACCAAGCATAGGATACTTGCATGCAATCGATTAATGAAAAATATATTTAGCAGATAAAATAACACGTCCTGTTCTTTTATTTATACTGACATATTTAAATCGCCTTAGTTAGCATACGGCCACTGTTCTAAATGCAGTATTTGCCAAGTGTGTCAAACAGCTTTCTAAGCGCTGGCGTTCGTAGACCCAATACCAGATAGTAATTTTCGACTGTCGAAAATTTTTGGTACTTACAAATCCAAATTATATTTTAAAATAATTAAATATGGTATTTTCAATTTAATTATAAAAAATACTGTATCTTACAAATTATCGTGCAATGAAAAATAGACATATTACCTATAAAAAATATCTTAATACATAATAACAAGATCATTAAAAAAAGTAGTTGTGAATTATAAGATTATTTTAAAGTAAGGAATTTCTAATGGACTATATAAATAAAGGCTGTAGATTTCACCACATTTATTTTTATTTCTCCTCCACAGTGAAGTACATATGCAATATATAAATAAATATGCAAATATTATCACCAAATTTTAATTAAGTAATATCTTTAGTAATTCTGGTAGTAAGAAATAGTAAAATAACAATACATTAACCATCTAACCTTCCAACTAAACAATCCCACAGAGATTATAATCCAATTATGGACAAATTGAATGAGCAGTATTAATTAGGTAGGAATATTAAAATTCACTGGGAATTAGTGTTGCCAAAAATCGGTCTTGGTCTGACCAAGGCCGCCTAACTGCTGCAAGACCAAGACCAGGACTGGTAAAAAAAATCGATTTTTTGAATAAAAATTAAGGTAAAATAGTTACTAATACTTGACAGTCTTAGTTACTATATGTAAATAATTGGTATAACCAATATACTTTTGCATTTAACTCCTCTCATTTTTCATTCGGGCTTAGTTAGGTTTCTCCTATCTAAAAAAAATACAGTAATATCTCTACAGTAATAAGCTAATAAGTAACTGCAAGATTGTTGCGAGACTCTTGCGCAAGACTAAGACCACGACCAAAACTGAGTTTGCTAGACAAAGACTCGTATCGGTCTCGCATTCGGGCAACACTAAACACTACTAGGAATCAATATCTGATTTACCTTACATTAATATAAGTAATTCATTTATGGAATATTCTTGTATTATGTTTTGTTTTAATTAATCTAATTATAAATTGACTTAATGTTTTAATCTTATTAAGGTTATAATTTATGTAATATTGTTTTTTAAAAGGTGACTAACATCACTATTATATTATGTTAAATGTTTTTTTATGAACTGATTGTATATGGATTTTATAGATGGCTTGAAAATGGCATCATAGCCGAAACTTAGCCACTCTGAAGGAGGAATAAAAAAAAAAATCTGGTAAAAATACATCCTTTATTAATATAGTAAAATAAAATTTCATCTAAAATATAAACATACATGATATTTGGATATTCATGAACATAGTGATCAACGTAACATTTTTTATTCATATCTAAATATTTGTTTATTTCCTAGACAAAGTTAATAGTGTTTCCGACTCTTTTTAGATAAGTTAACATTGAAGATACAATATCTCTGAGAAGGACCGCGATATCTAGAGGACAATGAGGGGATGGGCATTATGAATCATATTCAAAGTCTGCTCTATTCTATCGGCTAACAACTTGAAGGGAAACTATTTACAATGGTCTTTTCAAACTGTACAAGAAAGTTACACTAATGTTACATTTATGATTAGTAGTTTAAATAATTGGCTCTAAAGAATTAATAAAAGTTAAAAGAAAACTAACGGTGCTTTAGACCACACCATAACTACTACTACTAAATAAAACTCGTTATCATTTGGTTTTCGACACTATTTTCTCCTATTCGCCACTCTGATACGGCGTCGCGTTAAGATACCGTCTTGAATTGTAGTCCATTACAGAAACGATGAAATGCTGAACAATTACTTCGCTTACAGTATGCAGGTCCGATTTTTAATTTCTGGAATATTTTAATCCATATTCAAAAACACTTCAATTAGCCTACTCCAGCTGACTTTGCCCGATTGTTACACATCGGAAATCTTATGGTTCAATCTAATTCACTCACAAAAAAAAAGTACAAAACGGGCCTAACTAAGTTTTCACTTAAAAAAAGAAAAAAAAAGAATGACTTATTAATAATAAAATTAATGAATGAAAATCTCTGTTTTATTCACTAATAGTAGATCCCATTTTGGCATCGACAGTTACTCAGCTAACTATTACGAAATTGTTTACTGTTTTTGCATCTCTATTATGCAATTCCTTCTTATATAATAAAAACTGTGATCATCTTTTTAAAAAAACACAAACTTTTAGGTACCTCCATTCCTGTTCGGAATCGACCCATGCATCAGATGAGCTTTTTTGTTGTAAATTTTGTGCAGAATCACCATCCAGGGTTTGGTCATTAATGTATAGATATATAATCATAAGTGAGTTATACCAATTTGCCAACTATACCGATATCAAGGTTTGTTCATTTGGGGTTTAATGTCCTTTCATTTTCAAAGTAGTATAAGAAACACGGGTAATACCATCCTATTCAAGAAGGAAGAAAGAAGGTCGAGATTTGTTCTGTTGAACATCGGATGGGTTCTCAAGAGGTTTAATAGAAAACATTTGATGAAAATTGACAACCAAGAAAATTTCCAACAGAAAGACTAAACACTTCATGAAATTACTGGGGCATCTATCTATAATTTCAAAATTACGTTCAGAGAAACCGCAGTAAAAAGTATGAGAAATTCCTCTGATCCAGTATTTCCCGAGAGTAAGGATCACCGCCCCTCGGCAGAACGTGTTGTGCAAGAGCCAGGGGACAGAACCCCGGAGGTCGTGATTCCACAGCTGAATAAGAAATGAGCTGATTTCAATACCGCACTCGCGTGTCTGTCTTGATTAGGCCACACGCACCGTGGGCCATATTTCTAAGTCTCTGTCTCGGCTTTATCTTAGCAACGCAACATCCAGGATGGCAGGGTTCCGTTCGACCTCGCTTCAAGTCCAAGGGCGGAAAGGTGAAGCCCGTTATATCAATCAAAAGATAATAACCATAAATAAATTAAGAAATAGTTCGGTATGAACTAGAACTTGTAAACTTCAATAAAAAATAAATCTTTCACACAAAAATAGCTATTTCTTCCTGAAGATGAATTTGTCCCAGATAGCTTTAATTTTTACCAAGTTACAGAACCTAACAAAGTTTCGTATCATTCCGCTTTCGAAATGTATCAATAAAAAACGGTACAGTTAATTTAATAGATGTAACAAGTGCAGCTGCAGTAATTAACGTTTTCCAAGTCGGAAACGTTTCCTAGAAATGATACGTGAATAGGCTGGGAGCCAATAGGATTGGGGGCCAAGACCGAATGATTCACATTTCAGTAATAGCTGAGTCAACGACTACATTTTATGGGTTACTGTCGGGTCGTCTTGTTGATAATAAAGGCTTCTAAGAACTATGTACCTCGGTCATATAAGGCAGGTTGATAGCGGTCCGGTTAAATGTAAACATTCGCCAAGTTAAAATTGCACATAATAAATAGTACTCCTATAACTTGAACCGAAGTAATAGACCATAACAAAACGCAAAGAAATTAAATGTAACATTAAATAACTAAAGAGGATTTTAATTTTAAAAAAAAGACTACAACAATAATCTTTTTCATCCTAAGGGGTTTTAGGTTCCATATCTACTTGAACACCTTGTTAGATCATTAAGGAAATTGAGGTCTACGGATATTTATACTTGGTTTAGTAATTGGGTACCTTCCTGATCTGGGGATCTTGACATGGGTCAGTGCATGGGACGAAATCTACTGGGCAGTAGTCGTAATGTTCAGTGGAAAACTACACCAGGTTCAAATATCCATTGGCTCCAATTTTCCTAATAATTTACTAAGTTGTTTAAGTGAATATTTCCTTAGGATAGATTGAGTAATTTCTTTATTTTTTAAAAATAATTTATATTTTAGTTTTTCAACAATTGAAAATTAATGTGTTATATCATCACGAACTTAAATGTCATAATTTAAAAAAACAACTTAAAATGTAATAAAATTAATATTTTGAGCTCGTTTTGTGTCAAAACATTCACGGGATCTCCTTGAGTAATTTAAACCATCCAACTTTTACCGGATAGACTGAACACATTTATATAATAATTTATCAGTGTTTTTAGTCTAAATTGTCAGTAGTCTAACAGGGTTTCGATGAATAATTTCAGCCATGAAACATTAAAATTCGTTCAGATGTTCGTTCTAAAACTAGTTACATATCTCCAAGCAGTTAAACAAAACTCATAACCCTCCTAGCCGTTTCGCCTTAAGCAACACATAACTATAAGGAAATTTAATAAGGGGATTGAGAAAGAAATTTAAAAATAATATGAAATAAATAATATTTTATGTGATATATGCTCAATGTGATAATAGCAAACGTTAGAGGGGATAATTAATGATGACTGAGGACTCCAGCAATAGATTATGATTCAATATCTGCAACTTCTTTACAAGGTAGTTCAGATATATTATTTTAAAGAATCTGGATAGTAGAATATAGTTCACATAGAGCTCTGAATATATATATATATATATATATATATATATATATATATATATATAAAATAATTTATTTTCTTTAAATCAGTTCTTTTTTTTTTGTCGCCATTGTTTTCTCATAAAATTAATTTAATGCTCCTTCCTAATTGTATTTATCTATTTATTCTTATTTTCTATCTTTTATACTGGGATAATGCAATATTGTGATCCCATTACTCATCTTCTGTCATTAATATATATATGTATATATTTTCTATGCTTTAGCTGTTTGTATTTAACATAAGTCAACTTTTGTATTTACGTAATTTTGATCATTTTTCTTTTCTGGAGGGTTTGCTTTTTCTTTCTATACATGTAATTCTTTTTTTATTTATTTTTTTTTTCCTTTTGTCATTTTTTCCAGTAAAATTATAAGTATAGTTGAGAAGATTTTATTTTATTTTATTTTTTAGTAATTAACGTACTATTATTTAAGTTGGTGTATATATTGTTTGAATCTTTATTAAGTTAGTTTTTGGCCAGATATTTATTTTTTCTTTTGTAAATGTTCATTATTGTTATTTTGATTGGACCTCGTCTCAGAATAAAGTTTATTTTCTATTTCTATTTCTATATATATATACATAATAGACATTATTATTATATTCGACATTGAAGTTATTTTTCATTCTCTTATATATATATATATATATTAAGAGATGTTCTTTTTGTTCAGACATATATTTCTTTTGATTGGTCTTACAACAAGAGACTCAGGACCTCCACATTGGGAATGGGGAGGGCTTGCACAGGACCCATGTTAATTGGGCCCGAAGGTCCGGTAAGTACGTAAGGTACTAGTACGGTTTTATAATCAAAGTTTTACGGGTAGTATAAAAAAAAAAAGTAAGAAAAACAAAACAAAATGGTTCTTAAACATTTTAATATAGTATATCATTACGTGTATTATATAAAATATTTACTATAATGGTATATATCCTCACAGACAGAATATATATATATTCTTATATAAATATATATATATATATATATATATATATATTCTGTCTGTGAGGATATATACCATTACAGTAAATATATTATATAATACATGTAATGATATATTATATTAAAATGTTTAAGAACCATTTTGTTTTGTTATTCTTATTTTTTTTAAACTACCCCTAAAACTTTGATTATGAAACCGTACTAGTACTACACTTACCGGACCTGTGGGCCCAAGTACCATGGGTCCTGTGCAAGCCCTCCCCATTCCCAATGTGGAGGTCCTGAGTCTCTTGTTGTAAGACCAATCAAAAGAAATATATGTCTGAACAAAAAGAACATTTCTTATAAAGACCAGGTGAAAATATATTCTGAAAGTGTTAATTGAAATCCTTTGTAAAAGGAAGGAAGAAAGCTATCTCAATTATCATGTCTTTGGTACGAGGAGCAAATGAAGGTTTCATAAATAAAAATAAAAACAATTGATGTCAGAAAATCAAGCGATGAGGACAAATCATACTATTCGGATTGAGCTGCGGGTACGGTAGTGTACCGTAAGGAACGCCCCATTTTCCAGTGACCACTCCAGAGCTAACGACTCCAGACCGGTCGAGGAATGGGACTTGCCAGGCAATTACCAACGTTTCAACGTCGGCATGACTGTCATCATCAGAGCCTTCTCTAATCAAGTCAACATTCTATTTATGAATAGATTTATCCGGCCACTTTTTCCCTTCCCATTGTCAGTTTTTTTTTATCCAACATCCCCTTCAATAAAGCATTTCAATTCTCGTCTGAACCGGACAGCGCAGTCATTCCTCTTCTGTGAGGCAGTGATATATCTTTATAAAATTAGATCTAAGTAATTTTGATAAATTATTGAGACGGATAAAGAAGAAATTTAGTAATAAATTTCGGTAAATTATATAAAATATGATGATAATTCAATTATTTTGTCTGTTAAATAATTTTTTTATTAATCAATAAATTCTTTATTGGAAAATATTATATTTATCTCCATTTTAGTTTGTTTACGTAGGATCTGTTGATTTCATTTTGTATAGTTTATGTGGCCCTAAATTTCTGCTAGCGAGATAAAGTCGTATTAAAGTTTTTGTGATTTTCGAAAGAACATTAGGCCTGAAAACATAGCCGAGCTTGTGCAAATGGTTTTCTACGCTTGTGTGCTACAGATTTAGGGCCATAGCAATCTCTCTCACTGATTGGGTCGGATTTTGATCAACATTGGCCCTTAACATTCCTCGTTTCAATTTCATTTGGGCGACCAGACCGTTGAGCATCATAGATGTCAAAATTTCCTAAATGAAATTTGGCAAACTAATTTTGACAGGTGCGTTCGGTTATGGCACATCCCCATAAATACTGCAATTTATTCTGAGCTTCCGCAGCAGGCTTATCTTTTTTTCTGCCGATAATGAATGATATTTTCTTCTATATTCATAGTGCAACAGCAAGCACAATACTAAGCTAGTTTCAACAAGAGCTAACAGATAAAGTTGTTGATATATTACAAACAGGATAAACAATCCATCTTAGGGAATAATTCATAATGATATAGAAATAAACAGAAAAACCGAAAGGACTTATTTGCCAACCCAGTATATCAAATAAATCTGGGGGATCACACTACTTCTTTACCACTTCTGAGAAAAATTAATCATAAAACTGTTTCCTTAAGATTTTTTATTCCTGTCTTGTTAAACATATATATATATATAAAGACGATTTCATCACTCTTCAAATCATAATCTCGAGTACTTCCGTAGATTTAAATTGTTCTATCATATCCTTGCAATAAGTAGTCGGATTTAGATGATTTTTTTTTTCTTTTTTATGACGTAATTTCGTACTTTTTTTTTTTGAGTAATTCATTCATAAAATTATGCATGCATTGTAGTTTTAATAGTAGTTTAAAATAAAGTACTGGTATCTTGTTAAATTTATTCAAATATTTAACTATAAATTGAACTGTTTAACAAAGCGAAATAACTGGCTTGGGATAACCGAATTCATTGAAACTTTTTCTGGTGATACAAGTTCAAAATATATTAGAAAAACGTCCGAGGTTTCTTGTCAATGCGTCTTAGAAGCGAAAAAAAAAATGTATTTATGTTCAACATTTGTTCATATTTTTTTTTCTTCCTTTGTTCTGTACGAGTTTCAAAGTTACGATAATTTTTTATAGTAAGGAATAAATGTATAAAAAAAAAAAAAATAACTTGCTGTAAAGAGGAGCAAGTTAATTTTTTCTTATAAAACAAAAACGTTGAAAAATCTAAATTTATATTTTCATAGAAATAAATAATTATGAATTTTAGGGTTTGATTTTTTTTCGGTTGTTAACTAAAAAAGCACTCGTAACTCCTAAAGATTTTTTCGAATTTAATAGGACTAGTTTTTCTATTTATTTTTTTTTGGAGGAAGGAGGCTTAACTCTTTTTTTTTAATAACAGCACATACAGAAGACAGTTTTAGTCACAGGCGGATCTACGGGGGGGCTTTCGGGCTGAAGCCCCCCAAAATGGTAAAACATAACCACGTTTTATGGAAAAAAAAAATTAAAAAATACCTCTTAAAGTATTATTGTTGGTGTAATTACATTTAAAAGGTCTTAAGGAATCACTTAAACACCATTTCATATAGGTAGTTAGTTTCTTTCTGTTTTTCCAAAGTAAATATCGTTATTTTTATGAGAAAAAAAAAAAGCTTCCGGGCTGAAGCCCCCCCAAAATTAAATTCTGGATCCGCTAGTGGTTTTAGTGATACAGTTTTTATATTCTCCTTGACGAGCACTTACATTTAGTTGTTGTAGTTTACATTAGCAGAAGTACAATACAAAAAGAGAACGTATTGTGATAGTTTAAGTATTTGGCTTATAGAAAAAGAAAACAACAATGAAAAAAAAATCTATTTTTGTAGGATAGGACTTCATTCCGAAACATCTCCCCTCTCCATCTCTTCCCGTGGATCCACTAGGGTAGTCCTTTAAATTAAATTATATTGGGAAATATCAATATATATAAATTCATACTGAGAAAACAGAAAAGAATTGTAAGCTACAGATCATGGAAAGAATTAAATAGATTCTTGTGCTTAATAAATAGCAAGGCCTTATTATAAGATTATACTAATAGGAATTGAAGTAGTCTTGAGTCAATAGCGCTAAATATACCCCAAACGGCGCTCCCTGGAAATTCACCTTCGCAAAGCCACCGCCCACACATGACTAAACCTGTTCCTAATACTGACCTCAGCCATAACCAATTCCATGTCTTATTTAATTATATTATACAATGTATTAATGAACAGTACATATCTCCTTACTTTTGGCTGATAGTCAACGTCCTGTAATTAAATAAATCAACAAATTTCTTCTGTACAAATAAGTTAAACACCATTCAGGAGCCTCAGAACAATATAAAAACTGAAGGATGATATTGAAAAAAATCTGTTAGGTTAAATAATTGGACATAAATAATAATACCATAGATGTAGATATAATCACTGCACAATAAAAAGAAAAAGTAAATTATATGAACTTATTTGATTTACTATTGAATTAACAAGCTAAACTTATATATATTTATTTATAATATAAAACATATTATATATATATTTAACAATCCTTCTCTTCCCTTCCTCCACCATAAGTATGAAAAATTTCGACTTAATTTTCTTTTTATAAAATTATTTTCTTTGTGATAACAGTTTACTATAACGTAAAAATTACTAGGATTATTTTGAGTTTCAATTAGAAATTTCGGAGTTTTATAAATATATATATAACAGATTTTTTCCAATATCATCCTTCAGTTTTTATTATTCTCATTATTATTCTTCAATATTATTCTCAGGCTCCTGAATGATGTTTAACTTATTTGTGATAAAAAAAAAACATATAAAACATATATATATATACATATATATTTTTTTAATCCTAGTAATTTTTACTTCATAATAAAATGTTATCAATGAAAATAATTTTATAAAAAGAAAACCCATATTATGGGTCAGCATGACAGCATTGTACCCTCTTAATTTCAGATTTATAGAACTTTGAATTTCCAATTCAAAAAGATTGGAAAGCTATGTTGCGATTGTTCATTTTTTTTCTACTGTTGTTAAATTGAATACAGTAAAAAATTTAAAAATAGAAATTTTTAATAAAAATATCATCACTAATAATAGCAATAATACTTTAAAATTATAAAGAAAAATATAATTGAGATTATTTTAGTGAAATGGCGACTGATTGTGAACTATAACGATATATTGAGTAGGTGACAAAGGTCATTTTAAATAAAGTGTTATCATTATTTATGCTTATTACTAATATTATTGCGACCTTATCAGTTAAATTTTATATTGTGGTTTAAATTTCTCTGAAATAGGTAAGAAAGCTATGTGACTGGACACACAAGATATTACATTGAAGATTTTGTTCATAATTTTCATTAGCTACATTTAAAATTAAGAAATGTATTTTCAGATTTTTTTGTTATCATAATTATTTCTATTATAAAGTTTGTGAAGGTCTACCGATTAATTAGGTTAATTTAATACAGATTTGAAAATTGGTTGAAAACCTCAAATGTTTATCATAATGGTGGGTTAATGGTTGACAGTAGAGAATAATTGAAAAAAAAAAATTGGTTTGGGTGTTCAGTCGAAAATACAAAGTCATTTATTTGTATTTTTTCCGACGTTCCGGCCCAAATTTCAGGCGTTCATGAGAGCTGATTTCACAAAAGGTTTCCATAAGAACAGCTTACAGGAATCTTATGATCTTACGGGAAATTTTTGAGAAATCAGCTCTCATCAGCTCTGAAATTTGGGCCGGAACGTCGGAAAAAATACAAATAAATATCATTTATTTATTTTTACTCTGTATTTTTGACCGAACAGCCCAACGAACTTGTATTCAATTTATTTTTTTTTCTTTTACGAAATACTATTAAGTTCCAGTATTACGACAATTCCTAATGGGGAAATACCAATCGGGTTGGGTTTTTTTTTTATGTTTATTTTATATCCTGAAAGCTCTTCATAACAGATGATTCAACAGCATTTAAAGATAAGAAAGGAAATCAATGATATAAAGCCATTAATAGAGCTATAAAATCCAAGTTTCGTGTGATGGTAATTATTTCGTCACCCTGCTTCTCTTTTTTTATACTGAACGACCATTTTGAAATTTAAGTTTCATTGAAATATAGAATGAATGAGTAAACAAGTATGAATTATAGTATCAGAGTTTGCATAATGAATTGAAAAATTCTGTGACTTTAAAAATTTTCTGTGTTGAAAAATTAAATAATGATTCAGGAACAATGCCAATTATGTATTTGCACTAACAAGCCTTTTCAATAAAATAATAAACTCAAAAATGTTAATGTATTCAAAATTTCGATCTTTACAAATCAACTGGAACTTAAAATACAAATCTCCCACTCCGCTGGTGTTCCTCAAGGTAGTATCCTAGGTCCTATCCTCTATACAGTTTATACAGCTGACATCCCTACCTGTCCCAACACTGTCATCACCACATATGCCGATGACACATGTATCCTATCTGTAAACAATGACCCAGCAATTGCATCCCAAATGCTTCAATCACACATCATAAATCTAGAAGAATGGTGTCAAAACTGGAGAATTAAAATAAACTCCAATAAATCCCACCAAATTACCTTTACCTTTCGTCGTAAACCAACGACTTCCTGTCCTACAGTTTCCTTTAACAATACTCCACTTATCCCCGTTGAGCAAATCCGATACCTTGGACTTCACTTGGACAAACGTCTAACTTGGAATCCTCATACCAGACTGAAACGACAAGAAACCGCTCCACTAAACCATCGAATTCCTCTCGCATCCAATCCTTACAATCCAAAATCCTTCGTAAAATCCTCAATGCTCCCTACTTTGTTACAAATAAAACCATCCATAATGACCTTAATGTTCCTTTTGTTTCAGATCTGGCACAATCCAGATACCTATCCTTCCATAATAAACTTCAGAATCATCCCAACCCTCTCGTTTCTAACCTTGCTTCCTCTTCAATTCCTGATAACCCTCCGAGGCGTCTGAAAAGAAGATGGCACCGTGATCTCCTAATGTAAACATATCATTAGAGTGCTACCATTGGGTAGTTACTCTGCAAGTGTTTATCATGTAATTATGTGCATTATGTTCTAATTTACTAGATGTATTTATTTAATACAGTTGTAAATGTCTTTAAGAAATAAAAAAAAAAAATACAAATCTCAATAAAAAATCTGAAAAATTAAACCATATACGACCTTTTCCTGATGTAATGCTTTTATTTAGGTATACAAATTTTAATTATATTAATCACATAAATTATTGGTAGAATGTATTTTTTTCAGAATTAATTTCGGGTAAATTGCGTTGAAGCGTTTATTATTCAACCAGAGGGCTCGGATAGGCTTGGGTTCGATTTTCGCCTGTAATCATTTATATTCACAGAGCGCCCATCCCTGATTGACATATTGCGGCAACTCCAGGAATTCGTTTGAGATGGGTAAAAAGTACAAATAGGCTCATACACTCAGTGTGTAATTAAATATATTTACCCCCCGCTAATAATAGCAGCGGTACCAATACTAGTATTTTAAAGAAGTTCCCTATATGCTAAGACAGCCAGTTATTAATAACTGTAAAACTGACTGAAAAAAAATCTTTCCGGTACTAAAAATGGAACAACTGTTTTATGATTCGAAAAGAAATAAGCTATAAATTGATTGAGGTTTAGCAATATCCTGCTATAAGTTACAGTTAATAAAAATTAAAACATGAGCTTTCAAACTTGTCGATACAGTAGAAAGTAATTATACAATTGGCTGTTAAAGAATAACTGAAAAAAAAATCTCATTATATTATAATAAACTTCAATGTAACAAAACTATTTTTTATTTATTTATTTTATATCATTTTATCATATTCAGGCTATTATTTATGTCATTTTACAATACTATAAATGTGTAATAATTATAAGATTAGAGGCAAAGAATGAATGATGGATGTAAAAATGAAGATTATGTATATCAATAATCTCTGATTTATAGCCAAGTTAAGAATATTCTGGAATGTAATAATTTAAGTTTATAATTGATGACCTTAAACAGAAACTATCAAATAAATAATTTTATCTTTCAAATAATAATAAAATATAGGGATTGGTGTGTCAGGCAATAAATCACACTATTTTCGGTTACATGATAATTTGGGACAATACACCATATCCTTACTTATCTATAGAGATACCAAATTTAAGCAGCGATGTTAGGTCTTTGAAAGCAAGATAGAACTAAGATATAAATAAAATAAGTGAAATACTGAAAAAAACAGAAAAATTCTAATTAAATATCCACAAAGAACTAATTTTTTATTTCTCTTCATCACCGGAGCAAGACTTCCACTGAAGTCCTGTACTGCATACACAAAGAACTAAATACTGTAAGGCTAAAACATTTATCCCCAAAATGTTCTCACTCACAACCATTTCCTCATGCCTGTAGTATGCGTTGAAAAATCGTTTGTTAGGAATAATACTTTAAAATTATAAAGAAAAATATAATTGAGATTATTGTAGTGAAATGGCGACTGATTGTGAACTATAACGATATATTGAGTAGGTGACAGTAATGGGTAGAATTTCTTTGAAACTTTTTATTAATTAGATGATTTTAGTTAGTATATTCGACTTTTTGGGGACCCTGCCTAATCTTCAGGCCTAATATGTCAATGCACAATGCATTATTATTTACTGATTTTTTATAATTAGGGTGAACGCACCAGTTATGAACACGAGGCACAGTTATGGACAGGTTGGACTTTAAATGTAAATAATAGGTTTCCTTATTGATTTAAAGATTCCAGTTTTTCTAGATTCAACAACATTGCCCTCTATTGACAACTGTATGAACAAAGTTTCCGAAAGAAAATTTTAAAATGCCTATCATTGTTGTTTCTATTGTACTCAAGAGATCAGTTTGCTTCATACCTTTCTACTAACAGTTTTGCTGAGATTAAGTTAAACATTTATGTTATCAAATCTTTGTCGTTATCTTTATAGTTAAATAAAGATTTTAGAGTTTTTCTGAGGTATGTCTATTACAGATACCGATCCCCTGTCAATTACTAGAACAATTGAATTTCGGTGTGTCCATCACAAGTGCAAAAATGTGTTGTTTTTTTTTAATGGAGATTATACCAGCATAACTGAATATTTTTTTCAATTTTAAAGTGTTAAAAAGAAAAAGGAGACCCTAGAAATTCTAAATGTTCAACGGAGAAATTTATAATTATAATAATTACGGCAGCATAAGGCAAAAAATACAAAAATTTCCTTACTTATGTCCATCACTGGTACATTTGCCCCATATGGTATTTAATAAAATATTTATTTTTAAAAAATAATTAAATCAACAGTTTATGTCATTTAACTTTTTTTTTCATTAATACACTCATATAACTTTTTCTCCTATTAGTCTCTTCTATTCATACAAGTATTTTTCAAAACAAATAAAATGTTATACTTAAAAAACTAGTTACAATAATAATTATACCTATTATCTTATTCGTGGTCCATCCATCATTAATTTAATTACTTATCTGAACTGAATATTATATTAACTATACTATAACAAAAAAAAAATTAAATTATGATAAAAGTATGATGTATTAGTTCATGAATATGGGGTAAAGACAAGCAATGTTGAATATACCGTTTAATTTTATTTAATGAGTAAAATATTTAAAGGAAGACTTCACTATCACATTTTCACAATATATTAAATAATTACAGTTTCAAGATTTCAAAAATTCAGTAATCATTTAACATATTGTAATACTGCAATAAGGAAAACTCATTACAAATATATTTATAGATATTAATATGTTTTATTAATGATACGATGCCATGGATATTATTAAAATATTGAAACTTTTCATTGAATAATCCGCTGATCGCTCTGAATTTCAAAGCTTGTCACTAAATCTCTCTCAGTAAAATAATTGTGGATTGATGTTTGTGAATAATTGAAGAGAAAATTGGTTGGAGTGATCAGTAAAAACAAATGTAAAAATATATATAAGTATATTTATTTTAAGTATTTATTTGAAATATTTATTATAAGTATATTTATTTATTTTTAATTTTTTTTTTGACTAATTAACTCAACCAATCTTGTCTTCTCTTAGAAAAATAAGTGAATAATTACGTATCCATGAACGAAATAAACATAGAATATATTTGTGTACACGGACGTATGCTTGAATAAGTATATATATATATACATGTGTGGGCTATGTAATAAAAATGCATACCTAATTTGTGAGTGGGAACACCACCCGTTTCATAACATCGTCAAAGCAGGCGTATCGGTATTTAAGTAGGCGAAAAAAATGGTCAGATTCGACTAAATCAGTTCCAAGAGTTATATTTGGAAGATCCTTCCTCCAGCCTTCGGTTAGTCAGGGAAATACAAATTGTTATAATTTTCTTTAAAACAAGCCAAAAAAAAATTGTATTTATGAACAAATTATAAATGGTAATTTTAAAATAAAAAATAATTCTTTTCAAAATATCGAAGATTGATGATAAATGATCTCAACTTTTTTCTTTATTTTTTCGTAAGTGAAATCGTTATCAACAGTGTGAATTATTTCCGCTCGACAACAGCCAGCGTTTATCAGGGTCAACTTTTTTCCTCAATAGTACTCGAATTATTTCAAAAAGGTAATTTATGACACACGGGTTATTCCAATCTGCAGTAAGCAGTACATTTAAAAATAAATCATTACATTACTACGTTCCGAAAAAAATTTCTTAAATTATTTGGGGATCGATGTAGAAACGAATAAGAAAACAATAAAAGACATCACAAAGAACCGAGCGAACGCACAGTGGGACGAAACAGTCTATTCCCAGGACTTGGATTTTTCACCCAGATATTCTCTTATAATAAATACTCACTGAATGGAGTGGGCAAAGTAAGTTCGGTGGTAGGAGAAACGTGATTTTTTTTTTAACCACTACATTCGATAATTGAATTTCAGAAAATTTATTAATATTATAAATTAAAATCCGAAAATGAATTACTTAATAAGATTGGTTATCCGAATTTCTTTCGTTTTTTTAAAAATCTTTTGACTACAATGTACTCAATGTATAATATTAAAAAATATAAGATAAAATAGCAATATAATCAAGTAGTAAGAAAGTTTAAAAACATCTAATTTTGCGCCAAGCCTATGAACAGATTTACTAAAATTTTACTATTAAAATCCTTTGGAATTGCTTGAAAACTGACTATGATATATTTCAAAGCCCAAAAAACATGATTGTTCAAATTTCAAAATCATTATAGAATTTCGAATTTTGGTCAATGCTTTTTATTTGCACGTCCACTGTGAACGGTTGTAGACGCACAGCAGACGTAAATATAGTATGAATTAACAAATGGAAAATTATTAAAATTTATATTTTGGTTCATATATATGTATTTATATATTTTGATTGGTGATAAATTATTGCGAAAATTGATAATACAAAAAAGAAAGGTAAGAATATTTTTTTTTTAAATTGGACGGTTTTGAATAATTTAATAATATAATTTTTAAATTACAACTTTTAATACAACGACCTGTCTAAAATATTAATGAAAATCAGTGAATTAGATGTGTGATATTACAAATAATAACTTTATTCATTATTTTATATTATTAATTTTGTTAATAAAAATTAATAATGTTAAGTTTTTAAAAATTCCTTGCAAATGTTCTTTTCTTACTAATATTTGGTTTTTTATTTATTAGAAAGTAAAGTAAATTTTCATTTAGAAAAAAAAACAAAAAACATTGGTATATACAGAATTAGGTAGATACCTAATTTTTTCACTACAGCACATCATTATGTTCTATTCTGGAATATTAAATTGGAATTTCTCCCCTGCCTTTAAGTTTTTTTTTTTTTTTTTTTTTTTTTTTATTTGTCCCGAAACTTAAATTCAAAGCCTATACTGACTGTAATAAATTTTAAAAAAATATAAGTATACACTGGATACTCACCGACTTACTCCGGCTTCCCTATGCATGGATACGCTGAAACCGAACATAGATCCCGGGTCTCCCCTGTACTTGGTGTAAAGCTGGGTGTCCAAGTTGAAGGACGATCCCCCGACGATGAAGAGTACGAGGGCGAACCCCGTGGTCTGTGGCAGGACCGACATCTCCGGTCCACGGTTAGTATCGGACTGGCAGTTCTAGGTCCCCCTCTACTGCATCCCAAAGGGGGAGACACCAGCTATAGTCAAGGGGTTAGGGTGACGATTGGGTTAATCATTCTTTTACAATAGAATTAGAGTCCCGTAATCAATGAAAATGTTTATTTATTTATAAACATCTCCAGAGATACAAAAACAAATTTCATATAGGTAATGGCCCGATTTCATTAATAAAAACAAAAAATTTAAATTTTATGTTGTTTTAATTAATTTTAACATTTATTATACATATTTGTTACCTTGTTCACTGACATTACTTTTCATTTGATCTCTAGACATATCTTTTCCTATTACTAACTACTATTAAAAAAAATAATTCAAATACTGTAGTTATAAAAAGAGATAGAAATCGATAATCATAAAACTCAAATTTGATAAAAATTTTAATCTGGAATTTTTAAAAATCATTTGATGATTTTTACTAAGAGCAATTTATATTTTTGATCATAAGTGATAAAAATCATATCCTGATCATTATTTTTGAACAAAATTTTTACAATTAACAATAATAATAATTCTTGAGTAATACTTTTAAAATCAAAAATATAAATGTTTGTAATATCTATGATGTACTTTGAGTCTTGAGTAACAGGTGGAGAATATTTTGTCAACCATTAGCAACAAAAAAAAATAGATGTGTACATATATTATATACATTATATAGTGCAGGTCCTACGTGCACAATTAAAGCGATTTCAGAATTATTATATTAAAAAATATACCCCAAACAGATTAAAAATGGTATAGAACTGAGGATTATGACATATAGATCAGAAACTTGGACCTTAAAAAGGAAACTCAGGAAGAAACACCTAGCCACAGAAATGGACTACTGGGGACGAGCGCCGGGAATATCCAGAATGGATAAAGTGAGAAATACGGCCATCAGAGAAAAGATGGAGGCTAAAAGAACCATTCTGAAAGAGATGGAGGAAAAACGGCTGAAGTCGTATAGACATTTGAAAAGAAGCACTCGAGGTTGAGGAAACGCACTATTGGTGAAAACATAAAAATAAAAAAAAATGTAATATTAAAAAATACATTAATAACGTATTCATGCATATTAATATTTTATTTTATTTGGATGTAATAGATGATTTTTATTTTCTGATCAAAATTTTTTTATTACAATTTAATCATTATTATTTATAAAAAACCGTATCACTCAGTGAGTGATCATTATTTTTAATTAAATAAATAAAGGTCAATTTAAACTTTTATTTATAAATCAGGCACGATTTTTAAATTAAAAATCAAATATTATAATTATTTTTGGTTTTCTGAAAGAAAAAAAAATATCAATTTCAAATCCAGCTAATAAACGGAAAAAAGGATAAAGTGAACACTGTACTACGAAAACAACATTTACAGTGATTATACTGAAATAAAAAAAAATTCGTGTAAAAAAAAAATAAAAAAACAAAACAAAGTTCGTGATAAAATTAATAATAACTTTTCATTAAATCTTCAAACGTTTTCCTCGATATTATAAATTTTATTATTAATAATAACTATTATTTAATGTCAGAGCTACTGTACTTAGGAAGATAGTAAATTATAATAAAAACTACTTTTAAAAAATTTACAACGCAAAATATTTTAATTAAGTCTCAGCGGAAAGAAAGATTTGTGATTTATCGAGTAAAACAGTGAAAACTAGGAGCCAATCTTAGACACAGACTTTCCATTTCAATTGGGGGGAAGGATGGACCGAGAAAAAAAATTATGGCTGGAGTTCATATCATATGTAAAAAATCAACACAATTATAATGTTGAATATTAAAAAAATAAATTTGTATAGATGTTGTAAGATTTTTTTTTTTTTGTGCATATGGGTTTAATTGAAAGTATTATCACAAAACAAAACAAAACAATTGGATATTCATTTATTACATAGAAAGTAGAGGACTGTATATGAAAGGTGAATGAATCATAAAATCCTAGGATATGTTGCGATATTACTATTTCTGAATGTAAATGAAAATTTAAACAAATACAGATATTTAGTTCGTAATAAAAGAGTTGTGTACCAACTTCTAATCCTTACCTTAGTCGACGTTTGTTACTTTCTTAATCGATTTTATATCAAATATTTTATTTATTCATGTAGCTTATTTGGAATTTTTTCTTAATTTAAATCTTTTTATTTAGATATAACACATTTTGCCACATTTAAGGGCACTGAGTACTAAAGCTGAGTGAGGCCCATTCATACCATATATACAGTACAAAAAAAAAAAAAATAATAAAAATGAATAAATAAAAAATAAAAATATATATCTATATAACAAAGATAAAAACTATAAAACCAAAGAAATGTAACTTGAAATCAAATTAAAAAAATACAGAAATTGGTAGCAAATATTTGGAATTAACTTTTTTTTTTTACTTTAAATTATTAGGAGGGGAGGGGCTTGTATATTTTTTTTTATATACAATTTATTTCATAATTCACAGGTCTCCATACTTTATAGCTTGAGATCCACACTGCTTCCTAATTAATTAATTGACTTAGACTAGCTTGCTCATCATAAAAACATATTCATATCCTTAATAATACATATAATATTTAGTTTCATCATGTGTAACAATTATTGTATTTTTAAATAAAAATATTTGAACAAATCATTCGATGAAGGTGTTACGTTAACAAATTTCGAAGTCGTGAGAAAATAACAAAGTTTTTTAAATTTATTTTTTTAATGCATACTTGAATAAATGACTGACATAAAATATAAACTAAAAAAAAATCGGATAAATCAACATTAATTGCTATTGCAATCACATTACAAACTAAACCAAAAATTTGGGTTGGCGTTCTTAACCTTGTCTGATCGTATATTCATATAGGTAAGATATACAAATGATAATAATAAAAATCTAAGATGCCTTACTATTCATTACCCTCCCTCCCCTTCCAAAAAATACATATAAAAATAATATTTTTTTTTCATTGGTCCATATTTATTTTTGTATTTTGAGTGGTATTTGTGACAAATACTAAACAAATACAAATACAAAATGTTCTATTTTTATATTATAACGCATATACTTCAGCTAATATATGTAAGCACGTCTCAAGGGAAAATTTAAATAATTTAAGCATTTTCTAATAAATTGTTTCTGTAATTACCGTTACTGAATTGGTTTTTAAAAAATATAAAATTCCTGACAAAATAAAATGCTGGATCCGCTATTGAGTTACACGAAAGGTTTAAAGTTGACTAAACGTTTTATTTTTTAAGATGAAGTTAATCAGTTCAAGATTTAATGAGTCTTGTTGTTTTAGGTAAAATAATATTCTCCACCGACGAACACGAAATGCGGGTGGGTAAGTTATTGATCAACACCTAATCTATGCAGCAGAAATACAAATAAAATTCATATCGTTGTGACCATTAGGATATATATTTAATAGCTACAAGGTTATTTTATTATAAAAGATGTGGTACATATCAGTTTGTAAACGTCCCCATTTGCAACGAGAAATTTTATGTTTTCAATTCTTTGACTTCCTCAATGATCTTTTCACAAATAAAATCATCTATGTTTTAACACACACATTAATGTTCCATATGTTTCCGATTTGGTCCAATCCAGATACCTATCCTTCCATAATAAACTTCAGAACCATCCTAATCCTCTCGATTCTAACCCCCCGAGGGGTCTGAAAAGAAGATGGGCTCGTGATCTCCTGATTTAAATACTTTATTAGAGTACTACCAATGGGTAGATTATTTAAACTATTATTTATTTTTACAGTTGTAAATTTCATGATTAAAAAAAAATCTTAACTATAATTTCGGGATGTTTCTAGCAAAAATTGAATTATAAATATTATAATTGAAGAGACGGATGGTTGAGGTGAACAGTCGAAATAAAATAGTAAAAATAAATAATTGTATTTATTTTCACATTCGCCAACGTTTCGGCCAGATGTTAAGGCCTTCTTCAGGGCTAAGAAAGAACCATATAGAAAAAAAAAAAGAAACTATAAACACTGAATAATAAAGAATTAAAAAAGTGAAAGCTATAGACTAAAAACTTAAACATTAAAGTAAAATAAAGTAGGTAGAATAATAATAGTAACAGAGAACTAAGAAATAAATAATAATGATAACATAATATAATAACAAACCTTTTTAAAGATCTTCGTAAAACCAAATCTAGTAAATGAGTGTCCAAATAAATGTGGAATCGGAGATTTAACGTAAAATTGTCTTTTCTTGTCCCTAAACCTTTTTATATTTAAAAAATAAGTACACAGATTAAAAACCAATATATTATTAAACTTGGCATTTTTTTTTTGTAATCCATTTATAAAATATCTCTTAAATGTCTAGATCAAAATTTAAATTCATAAGTCAGTTCGTCATTTATTGGCTGGCAGTGGACACTTATCAACTCCTGAACACAATTACGGAAAATGTCTACAGATAGAAATTACTTAATATTTTGTTGTATACTCATACACCAGCTATCAAGATAATCCAATAGAAAACATGAAATTGATAATTATTGATAAACTAGAAAAACACTGCTGTCCACTAAGGTTTTTTTTTTTATCACCCTTACTGGCATTTTTGCCATACGGGGTTTCAGCAAAGGTTTTGTTATTCATCTGGCGTCTCATGTTGCTTTCTTAAACTACGCCACGAAACGGATTAGGAAATTTACCGAGCAAGATTTGCCATCTCCGGTTCCCACATTCATATCAAGTGCACATTTTTTCTACAGAATACATTCCATAAAAACAAATATATGATTCATTGTGTTTAATTTGTAAGTCTAGAATATGAAGATACTATGAAGAGTATTTGATATTCTTCAAGAAATTTGTAAAACAAATGCATGTGTCTGGTAAGGATTATGTACATATAAGGTATACACATTGATTCCTCTTAAGCAACAACATCCAATAAACATGAAGCATGTTCTAATCTATT